GGCCCTGGCTGATCCCTCGAAGAGCCACCTGCGGCCCCACTGGGGAGCTTCCGTCCCCGCTCGCCTGGGGGTCCCGCCAAACGCAGGGACGGGGCCACGCGGCCACCTCTGGAGGTGGGCTCTGGGGAAACAGCCTTTGCCTCTGTCCCCCGGGGGGTCGTGGTTTCCTCCCCTGCCCGCTTGGCCGTGGCACAGCCTCGGGGCCACAGCCCCGAGGGACGGCAGCCGGCTGGCGTTTAGGGGCCGGGTCTCGATTTGCGCCTGGCTGAGAGGGGCCTGCGGCTGGGCAGAGAGGCTCAGTGCACCCGGCGGGTGGACGGTGAACCCGCGAAGGGCGAGGCCCAAGGCTGTGGCCTCGGCAGGTGGCTGAGGGATCCTCAAACCCTCCCGGCCACCCCGAGGGGTTCGGGGGCTCAGACAGACCCTGCGGAGCCCGTCTGTCCTCTGAGTCCGGGACGGCCGGGGGCGAAGCCCAGGCTGCAGAGCGGGCAGCCCGGAAGGGGTGCGGGGGTGGCGGGAACGGCCTGGCCTGGCTGGCGGGTGCCGGCTGGGGGCGGGAGGCCCGGCACGAAGAGCGGGAGGTGGGCAGGCCAGGAAGGAACACTTTTGGGACTTTTTGTACCTCTAACGATGGGAACAAAAGATACCCCGACCGCAGTTTCTGGAAGAACTACTTGTCCTTGCCCAGTCTGTGCCTCTCCTGGACTTGGCGTGGCCTCCGGACGGGCCTGGCGGTGGACAGCGGGGCCTCCTGCCTCCCAGACTCGGCACGGGAGAGGGTCGGATCCCCGGGGAGGGGGAGGCGAACGGCCCGGGTTTAGGGTGCTTGTTCTGGAACATTCCGGCACCTGTCTCGGCTCTGCAGGGGGCATGCCCATGGACAGAGGTCCCCCCGGCATAATACCCCCCTGGGTGATTCTGCCACGTTGCAAGAGGCCCCGGGACAGTGCCCTGTGGTTAAACGCCGCCCACATGGAGGCGTTCGGGGCCCTATAAACGGTTTCCAGGGCCTGGAGGGCCCGCGCGACCTGGCCCGTGTGTGCTGGGGCGTGAGGGCCTCCGGGCAGATGGGGGGCCTCCTGCTGGGCCTTCTCCTGGTGTTGGCCTCCGTGCCCAGGGCCCAGGCGGTGTGGCTGGGCAGGCTGGACCCCAAGCAGGTGCACCGTGGGGGTGCACAGCGCGGTTTGCTCAGCGTGGGCCCCGCAGTGGGTCTGGCCGGGCCCCTCCTCCGAGACCGCCTGGCTCCTGGGTCCCCCGATGCCAGCCCAGGCCGAGGGATGGCGGGGGTGGGCGCCAGGCCTGCATGGGGGGCCCCGGGGCTCTGGGACAGCACCGGGGGTCTCCGAGGGGGGCTGTCTCACTGAACGCCCTCAATGCAGCTTCTCGGGCCCTGGTATGTCCTGGCTGTGGCCTCCCGGGAAAGGGACTTTGCCGTGGACAAGGACTTGAGGAACATTGAGGGTGTCATGGTGACGCTCACTCCAGAAAACAAGCTGAAGGTGCTGTCCTCCCGGCACGGGTGAGTGAGGCCGTGTCCCGTGTGCGCCGGGCCCCGCCCGGGCTTCCTGGCAGGTGTCTTTGGCCAAGGGTCCCACAGGCCGGGCCCGGCCGGCTCAGGCGAGAGCCCCGTGGACCTGCTCGCCTGCCCGGGCTGTGCTCCAAGCTGCCCGCCCTCCGCCCCGCCACTCCCGTCTGCGTCCCAGGACCCAGGGCCTGGCTGGCGTCCGGCCAGGACGCATGCGCTGGAGGTCGCAGCCGGGCGGCCTCTGACACCCCCTCCCCCCCCCCCCCCCCCCCGCCTGTGCCACTTGTCCTTGGTCACCCCTGCTGGGGGCTCTTGCAGAGTGGGGCAAGCCTCCCCTTTGTGCAGATCCTCTCGAGCACGGTCCCGAGAGTCAGCTCGTGCCCCGGGCCTGAGAGCCCCTGACTCTTCTGCAGCATGAACCCCACAGAACGGGGCCCCGTGGCCATTTGCCAAGCCTGTCTCGGCCCACAGAGCCATGAGTGCGTGCTCACCACGGCAGACCACGTGCGAGGCCGGGGAGGCCAGGCCACCTGGGGGCGGGGCGGGGGAGCCGGGCTGTGGCAGGTGTCAGCACCCGTCTGTTTTCACCGGGCGGAGGGCCTGGTGGTGGCACCAAGGCATCACCCCCGGCAGGCTGCGCCACCACGCCAGGCACGAGGCCCTCCCCCCTCCCCGAGGTGCCGCCCCTCCTGGCCGCAGCGCAGGCAGGGGCAGGTCTGCGTGGAGGCGGCAGCTCCCACCGGCCTTTCCCGGCGTGCACCTGGGCACCAGCCCCTCTCTCCGAGCAAACACCTGACCTTACCGGGTCGCTCGTTTGTGGACAGGCAGCCCAGGGAGCCCGGGGGCCTCTCCCCGGAGACACACTCACCTCCCGCCCCCGGTCCGGGGCTCCTGCCATGTCCCGTGTGGAGAGCTGGAGCCACAGGGCTCGGCAGGGGAACGAGGGGTCTTGCTGCCCAGGCCCCCCACCCTGGAGGCCACCTGTGACCCAGACGGGGCAGACTGACCCAGGGCAGGTTTCCGAGTAACTGGGGGCACCAAGAACATGGAATTCCCTCTGCGGCCACCACCGAGCTCCTGTTTCCTGGCCCGGGGTCGCGGGGTCTTGACCTTGCGCTGGGGGCGGGGGGCTTTTCTTTTGCAGGATGGAGGGGTGCAACCAGAATGTCGTGGAGTTGCAGAAACAAAGCTCTGGATGGGTGTTTGAGAACCCCTGTAAGTGTGGCCACAGGCGCCGGTGACCGGCAGGGAGGGCCCAGCTCCACTCCGGAGAGTTCTGTGTGGCTCTTCTCCGGGGAGCTAGAGAGCCTGGTTTGGCCAGGGCCGCCGGCAGGTGCAGGGGGCGCAGGGAGCTCGGGCTGCGCCACGCTGCCCAGCCAGGTCTCCGCCCCAGACGGCTGCACGGCCCGCGTGCCCGGCCGGCGGCCGTCTGTTCCCTCAGGGATGGGGCTGGGCCAGGGCTCGTCCGTTCGTCTGTCCGTCAGTCACTGAGCCGCTCCACTCGGGCGCCGGGTGGGGTTTGGGGGAGACAGAACCTGGGGGCTCTGGGCCCCCGGGAGGGGTCTCCCGGGGTCTGACGGCTCTCGCCCTGTGCTGGCCCCCCGAGGTGGCCAGACCCGCTCAGCGGCCCCCGGACAGTGACCGTGCTGGGGGCCGGGCTGTCTTCTAGCCCTGGGCGTGCTGGAGTACCGCGTGCTGGGCACCAACTTCAGAGACTACGCCATCATCTTCACCCAGCTCGAGTTTGGGGACGAGGCCTTCAACACCGTGGAGCTGTACAGTGAGTGGCCGCAAGGGCCTCTCCCCGGCCCCCTGACCCTGGACCCCTCCCCGCCCCATCCCCCATCCCCTCCCTGCCTTCAGAGCTGCCACCCCCGCCCCCCGCCCGCAGGTCGGAACGAGACGGCCAGCCAGGAGGCCTTGGGGCTCTTCTCCAAGTGGAGCCGTGGCCTGGGCTTCCTGTCTCAGCAGCAGGCCCAGCTGCGCAAGGACCGTGAGTGTCCCCGAGGTGGCCGCAGGGGTGGCCCGGGCCAGTGCCCGAGGACTGTGACGGGTGGCGTAGACCTGGGGCCCGTTCCTGGCCTCTGCCAGGCGAGGCCTGCGGCAGGGACGGGGCCCTGGGCACAGCCGGACCTCACAGCCCGTCTCGCCTCCCCCTCTAGTCACCTGCGCACACAGGATCCTGCAGGTAAGCCGCCATCTCCAGCACCTCCCCAGCCCCCAGGGGGCAGGAGGGACCGCCCACACCCCTGGACCCTCCCCCAAGTAGGCGGGGCTGGTGGCTCCACTGCCCTGAAGGGGCTGAGGGCTTGGGGGGCCCCGCTGGGGAGCCGGGGTCCCCACACTCTTGTTCTGGGTTTTCAGTGACAGCTGCAGCTCTCGGGAACTTTGCCCGCCGAGTCCCGGTGGAAGTCGGTCAGGCCCCCCCCCAATCCAGATCAGAATAAAGTGATTTGCAAGGAAACCCGCCAACGTCTCGAGCGTGAGCCAGGTGGTGCCCCACGGGCAGGCAGAGGGGCCAGGTGGGCTCTGATCCGCCCAGGGAGACAGGCACGGGGCCAGTGGACATCACCAGGGGCCAAACCACAGGACCCAGAGCCATCCAATGAGAGGCTGCACCTGACCCCTCCCGGGGGCTCCTCTGGGTCGGGGCAGCTCGCTCAGGCCCCGGGCGGAGGGGGTGGCTGGTCTGGGGACATCACGGGCCACAGCCACTTCTCCTGCCCGGACCCAACGTGGGGCCCTCGAGGAAGCTGGCACTGGTGTCCACGGCCCGCCCAGGGCGAGGGGGCTGCCGCAGGTGCTGGACCCACCTGGGGGCCTGGGAGGGATCTTGACTCTCCTGGGCCCGGGCTTTGGCTGCTGCGGGGCCTGGGGTCTTGGAGGGCCTGCACCCACGGGTAACCCCGCGTTCTGGGGGCCGCGCTGCTGGGAGTCCCGGGAGAGGCGCAGGCCCAGGAGCTGCTGGGCAGGACGCAGGCTGGGGGCTGCCTGCCGTCCTCACGGAGGTGGGGTGCCCACAAGGTGACTCGGCCCTCCAGGCTGGGCAGGCACACGCGTGCTCCCCGAGCACCCACCTGCCTGTGCACACGCTCATCCAGCCCCGCCCACCTGCCGGCACCTGCTCAGGCTCTGCCAGTGAGGCCTGGAACAGGTGGCCAGGTCTGAGCCGGGGTCGCAGAGAGAGCACTCTGCACGCCCACCCGGCCCTGAGAAGCCCCAGCCTATTGCCTCTCACTTGGGGGGGGGTCTAAGGTGAGCACCCATCTTGCCCAGGTGAGACGGCCCAGGGATATGACGGGTGCACACGTGGCTTCACTTGCCTTTGGGGGCTGCCAAGGCCGAGCACCTGGGGCCCGCCGAGCCCGAACCCCCCCCCCTCCGGCCCAGCCCAGGCCCAACGCCCACCATGGGGCGGGCACAGGGAGATTTAAACGCCGTGTCCAGCCCGGCTGGCTGAGGAGGGAGGGAGAGGATGAGGCCGGGGCAGCCGGTCCTGCTGCTGGTGCTGGCTCCGGCCCTGGCCGTGAGGCCCCTGCCACAGGAGCAGAAACCCAAGGAGGCCCACACCCTCAACTGGAACAAGGTGAGAGGGGCACGGGCCACCCAGACTGGAGACGGCGGCAGGGCAGCCCGGACACATGCCCTGTGGCACAGTCTCTCCTCTCACCCCAAGAGGTGCAGGGCCCAGGGCCAGCACCCCAAGAGGGGTCAGGGTGCAGAGGCCCTGGGAGACATGGAGGGGGTAGTGGGATGCAGAATGGGGGGCATGTCCTGGGGTGGGAGACGGCTCTGGTCAGTAGAAGGTTCTGGAACTGTGCTGGGCAGACTCTGGGGGCAGCCTTTGCCAGCCCGCCTGCAGGTGCGCCATGGTGGGGCCGGGCGCAGGGCACGGCTCCCTTGTCTGCCGGGTTCTTGGCCGGGGGCCACGGTCCACACTGTCCCCCCAACCTCCCCTGAAGCTTTCAGGCTTCTGGTATATTCTGGCTGTCGCCACGGACACGCAGGGGTTCCTGCCGGCCAGAGACAAGAGGAAGCTGGGGGCGTCCGTGCTGCGGGTGCACAAGAGGGCCCAGCTCAAGGTGGTCGTCGCCTTTAGCCGGTGAGTGGGCACTGGTGGGGGCCCAGCACGCCCTCCCCCACGGCGAGGGGCAGCCCCTTTCCGGAGGCGGGAGGGCTGTCCCCCCACTTCCCCTGCCCCCGACAGCGCACAGGGCAGATGTTGGCAGAAGCTGCAGTCCGGGCATGGGGGTGCAGTTTGCTGTGTCCCCGAGCCGGGCGGCAGGCCCCGGCCACACGGAGAAGGCCCCACCCAGAGCCTCCAGCCAGCCAGGGTGGGGGCAGAGAAAACACTGGGGAGCTTGCCCCCCACCACCCCAGACCCAGGCTCCCCCTACCACCACTGCGAGGCCCCAGCCACTCCCAGGCCCCAGCCACCCCCAGACCCGGCCACACCCAGCCACGGCCACTGCCAGACCCCAGCCACTTCCAGAGCTCAGCCACACCCAGAGCTCAGGCACCCCAAGACCCCAGCCACTCCCAGACCCCAGCCACCACCAGACCCTGCCACCCCCAGACCCAGCTACACCCAGCAACAGCCACTACTAGACTCCAGTCACCCCCAGACCCCAGCCACTCCCAGGCCCCAGCCACCTCAGGCACCAGCCACCCCCAGCCCCTGTCACCGCCAGACCCCAGCCACCCCTAGACCCCAACAACCCCCAGACCCCAGCCATCCCTAGAGCCCAGGCACCCCCACACCCCCACTAGCCCCAGACCCCAGCCACCCCCAGACCCCAGCTACTCCAGACCCCCACTAGCCCCAGACCCCAGCCACCCCCAGACCCCAGCCAACCCCAGACTCAGCCACCCCCAGATCCCACTAGCCCCAGACCCCAACCACCCCCAGACCCCACTAGCTCCAGACCCCAGCCACCCTCAGACCCCCACTAGCCCCAGACCCCAGCCACCCTCAGACCCCCACTAGCCCCAGACCCCAGCCACCCCCAGACCCCAGCACCCCCAGACCCCCGCTAGCCCCAGATGGCCACCAGCCCCCAGGCCCCTGCCTCCCCCAGGTCCAGGGGGAGCAGGAGAGGGGCCCAGACATTCTCCTGGGGGGCTCAGTGGCCGGAGGGCAGGAGGAGGGGTTCGCAGGCTGGAGGCTGCAGCCCCTGCCTCCCCGCAGGCCGCAGGGGTGCCAGTCCCAGGAGGTGACCTTGAAGAAGGACAGGAAGAAGGCCGTGTTCCGCAACACCTGTGCGTATGGGGGGCTGAGAGAAAGGTGGGGGCAGGGGGGTCAGGCTGGCTCTGGGCTGGCCAGGCCTGGGGGGTGAGGTGGGGGTGCGGCCCCTGCTCCCTCCCGCCGCCTGCCCTGGCTGGGTCCCGGAGCTCAGGGCTGCAGCCGCAGGGCCTCCCAGCCCCCCGGGGTCTCTTCCAGTGAGAGGGGTGAAGGCCTTCCGCGTGGTGTCCACCGACTACACCTATGGCCTGGTCTACCTGCAGCTGGGCCGTGCAGACCGCAACCACAAGACCCTGCTGCTCTTCCGTGAGTGCTATGGGGGGGCGCGGAGGGGGGAGGAGGAGGAGCCTGGGGGGCCAGCGAGGGCACGGGAGAGGGGCAGCTGGTGGCGGGTCGAGGTTCCAAAGTCCTGGGTGCCAGGGAGGGGGAGGAGGTGTGGGAGGGGTCTGGGCAGGGCCTGCCCCGGATGGGGGGCACGTGGAGGTGGCCGGATGGGACCCAAGTCAGCACTCGGGGTACACGGGTAGGAGCAGCCTACTGGGGCCGGAGGGGGGTCCTGGGTCTCAGCCGAGGGGTGGGCGTGTTCAGGCCTTGGAATGGGGGTGCAGGCTCCTGCCAGTCGTGGCCGGCCAGCTGCTCCTTCGCTCATGGGGTGGTGGCTTCTCCCCGGGTGGGGGTCAGCGTGAGCCCCCCGATGGCCGGGTGGAGTCCCTGATGCGTGGGCTTGACCCCCGACCGCAGACAGACAGAATGTATCGAGCTTCCAGAATCTGAAAGAATTCATGGACAAGTGCGACGTCTTGGCGCTCAGCGAGGCCGCTGTCGTTCTCCCGAAAGACGGTAAATCCTGACCCAGGCTTCGCCTGCCTGGGCCCACGAGGCAGCTGATTGACAGGAGAGGGAGGCCGGGCGCGGTGGCTCACGCCTGTCATCCTAGCACTCTGGGAGGCCGAGGTGGGAGGATCGCTCAAAGTCAGGAGTTTGAAACCAGCCTGAGCAAGAGCGAGGCCCCCGTCTCTACTAAAAATAGAAAGAAGTCAGCTGGACAACCAAAAACACATAGAAAAAAATCAGCCAGCCATGGTGGCGCATAGTCCCAGCTATTCAGGAGGCTGAGGCAGGAGGATCACTTGAGCCCAGGAGTTTGAGGTTGCTGTGAACTAGGCTGACGCCACGGCACTCACTCTAGCTGGGGCAACAGAGTGAGACTCTGTCTAAAAAATAAATAAATAAAAATAAAACATAACAAGGGAGTGAGACCAAAGGGTCCGTTTTCCCCGGATGCATTTTTAAAGACCTGGAGTTGAGCGCACTTCCTGGCCTGTGCGGGGCCTCGCGCAGACTGCAGAAGGTGGCACAAGTGCTGCCCGACCAGGCGATGCCGTGGCCCCCCGGGACATGCTTGTGGCGGATGTGTCCCCCCACCCCCCCAGCCGGCCCACTCATAGCCCCTGTCCTCCCCGCAGCGTCCTGTGCGCACACCATCCTGCCATGAGACCCAGCGTCCTCTGCTCTTTCTTTCCGACTTGTGGTCCTCCCAGACCCCGGGAGCATTGTTCCAGAAGACAGCTCTTCCGTCCAGCGGCCGTTCAGAAGTGTTTGGTGACCCCAGGCCACTGACGGCGTGACGCTGGAGGGTCTCTGACCTCAGAGGGACGCTCTAGGGGGCAGAGGGATGGGCAGGGAGGGTGCACCAAGCCAGGCCCCTCCCCCGTGCCCTCCCGGGCGCCCCCCCCCCACTGCAGCAGCCGTGCTGCCCTTGCTCACCTGCCGCCGCCAAATAGACCAGAGGCCCCAACACGGTCCTCGCTGTGTGCCTCCCTCTGCCTCGTGTCCTCGTCGCCGACGCTGTCCTGGAAGCCGAGCGTGCGCACGCGCCCGTTCCGCGCGCCACTCCGGGGCGGGGCAGGGGCCAGGCAGGCCACGGCGGCTCCGGCCAGGGGAGGCAGACGGCCGTGACCCCCACCCCCCACAAGTCTCAACCCCGAGAAGCGCGTCCGGGCACAGCGGGTCTGACTCCTTCCTTCTTGGGCCCAGGCGAGCTTCTCGGAGGAAGCGGCATTTGCGCCGAGACCCGGGGGTGGGTGGGGGGGGAGAGGCGGCACCCCCACAAGGAAACAACCTCCGAGAAGACCGTGGCCTGGGGGAGCCCAGGGCTGGCGGGGGGCCGGCGGGGGCTTAGCTTAGCCCGGATGGAGAGAGGCGGAGGGAGCGGGGCGGGGCGGGGCAAGCATTCTGGGGCGCTCACCTGTGCTTGGTGATCAAGGGTGGGCGTGGTGAGCCCCACGAGTCGCTCAACGTCATTGGTCGTCAGGGAAACGCCCATCAAACCCGCAGTGAGCCAGCGCCTCACGCCCACGAGGACGGCGCCAGCCCCAGAAGGGACAGCGGCACGTGTGTCGCGGGGACGTGGAGAGAGGGGCCCTGGCGCTGCGGCGGCGTGGACGGCGCAGCCTCCGGGGACCCCCCGGCCGTGGCCGGGACGGCGCATCTAGCGCGGCCCAGCGGCTCCTCCCCGGGGCGCGCACGAGACAGCCGAGCACGCGGGAGACTCGCCCTCGCGAAACCCGGGTGCGGGAGTTCGCAGGGGCCGTCGCAGCCACGGGGTGGAGGCGACCCCAGCGCCTATCGACAGGGGACGCGCGGGCGAAGTTCGACCTCTCCGCACGAAGGAGCGTCGTTGTTCTGCGTGACGCACCCACAGGTGCCACAGACGGCGCGGGGGAACCCCGAAACCGTCACGCTCGGGGTCGGAGCCCACAGGTGCACGGCCCCACTCTCGGAAGGGCCCGGAATGGAGGGGCCCTCCAAGGTGCAAGTCGGCTCCTGCGTCCGGGGTGGGCGTGGGGGTGGGTGCAGCTGGAAATGGGTTGCCGGGGCGGGAGGGCCTTTGTCGTGGGGTGGCGGTGGGGGTGTTCCGAAGCCGGATGGCGCCCACGGGGCGGCACAGCCCGCAGGTGCGTTGAAATCACGGGGCCGCCCGGGTAAATGGTGAACGCCACGGCGTGGCATCGTGGTGCCTACGCTGTTGTCCCTGAGCTGTGGAAGGCAGCGGTCAGAGGTGACCCCGAAGTGACTCTGCCCCACCGCCGGGGGAGAGGAGGGAGGGAGAACTTAAAGATGTTCCTAGAACAAAAGCAGCAGTTTCACAGGGATTGGCCACTGCTGGCCGGCTGCAGCAGAGCTCGGGCTGAAGCTCTTCGCTGAGGGGTGACAGCCCGGTTAGCGCCCACCCGGCTCTGGGGTGGCATCTGCAGGAACAAAGCAGCTCACCCATCCCCTAAAATCAGAAGGGAGGGAGGGAGGGAAGGCAGGAATCTCTGAGAATGGGGGTGAAGAAAGCTCTGGCTCCCTGGGGCCACAGAAGGGCTGTGGTTGAACTGACCTTGGAAGATGCTGGACCGGCCTGGTCCCCCGTCTGGCGCCAGGGGCTTCGAGCTGGTGACCAGTTTCACTTCCTCACGTCCACGCCACCTGCAGCCAGCGTGCAGAAATGTCACTGCCGGCTTTCCACGGGCACAGTGACCTGCACGATGGCTTGATACCCTCCCCCACGGAACGGCCAAGCTGGCAGGGCCATCGTGTACAGTTGTCACTGCCGGCTTTCCATGGGCACAGTGGCCTGCACGATGGCTTGATACCCTTCCCCATGGAACGACCAAGCTGGCAGGGCCATCGTGTACAGTTGTCACTGCCAGCTTTCCCTGGGCACAGTGACCTGCACGATGGCCTTTGATAATCACCATGAACGGACAAGCTGGAGGGCCATTGGTGTACAGATGTCACTGCCGGCTTCCCTGGCACAGTGACGCAGTGCATGATGGCTTGATACCCTTCCCCATGGAAGGCCAAGCTGGCAGGCCATCGTGTACATTGTCACTGCCGGCTTTCCCTGGCACAGTGGCTGCACGATGGCTTGATACCCTCCCCCATCGGAACGGCGAAAGCTGGCAGGGCCATCGTGTACAGTTGTCACTGCCGGCTTTCCATGGGCACAGTGACCTGCACGATGGCTTGATACCCTTCCCCATGGAACGACCAAGCTGGCAGGGCCATCGTGTACAGTTGTCACTGCCGGCTTTCCCTGGGCACAGTGGCCTGCACAATGGCTTGATACCCTCCCCCATGGAACGGCCAAGCTGGCGAGGCCAGTGAGCACGCAGTGTTGATGTTGGCTGTCCACCGGCACAGTGACATGCACAATCGTAGGGGTGAGGCCCTAAACGTTTTGAGACGAGCGTGCTTCGCCTCTGATGTTTAAAGGTCAGTTGCTGCAGGTCTGAAGACACAGCCCGCTGCTTGCCAAGCTTCCTTGAGCTCCGTGGCTGGGAATCGGCAGTGGCGCTGCCCCCGATGGTGGCCGGTGGCCAGTGGCCGTCCCGAGGCCCCACCCCCACCCCCACCCCCGACCTCTCCCTGCTGCCCAGCACCACGCTCCCCATGACACTCACAGCAATTGTCGCTCCCCATCCCCGGACACCCCCATCTCCCACCCTCATCCCCCACTCCCATGCCCCCCCCACCCCCCGCTGTCACTGTCCCGTCTACAGTGCAGCTGGCTCAGGCACACACGGCGGCACCCACACTGGGCACCGTGCTCGGCCTCGAACTGCTGGGTCAGCCTGGCCAGGCGTCGGCCCACGTGGCCGGGGTCCAGGGTCAGACGGGCGTCCCTGGTGTCCTCGAGGACCCCGGTGCCCCCTGCCTCTCTCCCTGAGGGTCCCGGGGTGGGCCCCTCCCCACGGGGGCCTCTGCTGGGGTCTCAGGTGCCCCCTGCGTGTTTTTCTCAGGACTCCCGGCCCGTTCCGGAGCAGTCGCAGACCGGAGGGACGGCCACGCCAGCGCAGTGCGACTTGCCCTGGGCCGGAGTACGGCCCTCATCCCTTAGTCCCCCAGGACATGGGGTGGACGGAGGGGCCGGGGTCTGGGTCAGCCGTACACGGAGCCTCCCGAGGCCCCGATGGCCCTGACTTCCTGCTCGAACAGCGTCCCGGTGTGCGCACCTGTCCAGGTACTGCTGGGGCCAGTCTCACTAGGCCTGCGAGGTGCCCGGAGCCCCCCAAGAGTGCACGACGCACACGGCAGAGACCAGCTGCCCTGCAGGACGCTGCCGGCCACAGGTTAAATGGGGAGCAAATGAGATGGGGAGAATTGTCCCAAATTAATTAAATACCCAGCAGCAGCCCAGTAAGGCCCTAAGGAGCTCTTATTTGGGGGGGGTGTGTGACATAGACAATTTGTATTTTTTGCATTTTTTTAGGGGGTGAGGAAGAGGGAACTGGATGCAGAGGTTTCTGTATTTTTTCTTAAAAATATAAAATTGTCTATAACACAGATACACTGTGCTCTCCTCGGTGCCAAGCCCTTCTGATGTGGTCACACAGGTGACCGAGGAAGTGCAGAAAACTCAGAAGCAGGAGCTAAAACCCTCACGTGTCCCCACGCAGGGGGCGGCCTGTCCGTAGCCCCTGGTTCCTGGTGGGGACGTTTGACCGACAGTCACAGCTGCAGCTCAGAAACCAAGAGCAGAAGGAGGAGAGAGACGGAGACCGTTTGAGGAGGGGGCTCTGCTGGGCCCCAGCCGGGCGTGGGCCTGGGGCCGCGGGGGAGGGGGAGGGGAGGCTGTGGGGGAGGGGCCCTCCAGTGCATCTCAGCTGAGGCCAAGGGGGAGGGGTTCCTGCAGTGCATCTCAGCCCTGGGCCACGGGGCAGCGTGAGGGACGCTCTGCACAGGGCTCAGCAGGGTCGAAGGGAGACGGGCCTTCTGCCTGGCGCCGGGTGTGAGTCTGGGGTCCGTGCCGGCCCCTGAGCGAGCTCGGCCCCTCCTGGCCCTCCAGCCCAGCCTCCCTCTC